ACAGACAAAATGGACGCTGTTCGTTCTCAAATAGCGTAAAAATACGGTATATTAAGGTTGTGGACCCTATAGAGGTCACAATGTTTATCCAATTTTGTTGAAACTTGAAATGTAAATTTATAACCCAAAATCTTGGTTCCTTTCAATATTCGCGCATATCGGACCGTAACTTCCTGAATTATGGCCCCTGATTGTACGAAAAATCGTGTTTTTAGCTTGTGGACCCTAAAGAGGTCATAATTTTTATCAGGTTTAAAAAAACGTATTATTATGTCACCGTTGCACCCTAAGGACAGCTGAGTTTGAATTTTGTGAAAATCTGCACAAAATTGACGGACAAAATGGCCGCCGTTCGTTCTCAAATAGCATAAAAATAGGGTATATCAAGGTTGTGGACCTTATAGAGGTCACAATTTTAATCCAATTTTGTTGAAACTTGAAATCTAAGTTTATAACCCAAAGATCTTGGTTCCTTTCGTTATCCGCGCACATCGTACCGTAACTTCCTGAATTATGGCCCCTGATTGTACGAAAAATCGCGTTTTTGGCTTGTGGACCCTATAGAGGTCATAATTTTTATCCGATTTAAAAAATCGTATTATTATCTCACCATTACACCCTAAGGATGGCTGAAAAAAAAAATGGTATATCAAGGTTGTGGACCCTATAGAGGTCACAATTTTTATCCGATTTTGTTGAAACTTGAAATGTAAGTTTATAACACAAAGATCTCAGTTCCTTTCGATATTCGCGCATATGGAATTGTAATTTCCTGAATTATGGCCCTTGATAGTAGGAAAAATCACTTTCTTGTTAGCTTGTTCTCTATCCATCTCTCGAAAATGTGGGTGTATCCTACCTGGCAGCCGCTGGTTATCCGATTTTTTTGAAACTTGAAATGTAAGTTTATAACCCAAAGATCTCGGTTCCTTTCGATATTCGCGCATATCTGACCGTAACTTCCTGAATTATGGCCTCTGATTGTACGAAAAATCGCGTTTTTAGCTTGTGGACCCTATAGAGGTCATAATTTTTATCTGATTTATAAAAACGTATTTTTATATCACCGTTACACCATAAAGACGGCTGAGTGTGAATTTCGTGAAAATCGGCCCAAAACTGACAGACAAAATGGCCGCTGTTCGTTCTTAAATTGCGTAAAAATATGGTATATCAAGGTTGTGGATCCTATAGAGGTCACAAGGTTGTGGACCCTATAGAGGTCACAGTTTTTATCCGATTTTGTTGAAACTTTAAATGTAAGTTTATAACACAAAGATCTCGTTCCTTTTGATATTTGCGCATATCGAATTGTAATTTCCTGAATTATGGCCCTTGATTGTAGGAAAAATCACTTTCTTTTTAGCTTGTTCTCTATCCATCTCTCGAAAATGTGGCCGTATCCTGCCTGGCAGCCGCTGGTTATACGATTTTGTTGAAACTTGAAATGTAAGTTTATAACCCAAAGATCTTGGTTCCTTTCGTTATTTGCGCATAGCGGATCATAACTTCCTGAATTATGGCCCTTGATTGTCGGAAAAATCACTTTCGTTTTAGCTTGTTCTCTATCCATCTCTCAAAAATGTGGACGTATCCTGCCTGGCAGCCCCTGGTAGCATTGTTTTGTTTATGTTAACATAACGTTATGTCATGATTCACGAATTTATTACGCCCAATTGACCAGTGCATAGTAGAATATTGCAGAAAAACTAATAGCGTGACAAACGAGGCTATCAACATGGCTACAATGTAAACAATACTGTTTGGAGACGAACAATACTTTCACCGTTTTTAATACCTTAAATCACTGTCCAAAGTTATAGGGAAGACCCCAGATTAAACGAAAGAATTTACTTAGGAGTGATTTGATTGAATGGGAAGAATAGACACACTACCACAAAAACGTAAGTATCAGACGTCAATCCAGCAATGGCCAGAGCGGCATTTTTCTGGCTATTGCTTCAGGAATATGCTATAATAGTTTCTTTCGGATAACTGGCTACTAAACCGCATTTTATTTGTACAAAAGATGGGAAAATGAACAGCTGATTTCATCCGCCATCTTGGTTGCTGGAGTACAAATCTAACTTCGGCCTGACAAATAATAATAATAATATTAATATGTACATTTATATAGCGCACGTACTCCATGTACAGAAGCATGTCCACTGCGCATACAATTAAATTAATTTAATTAATCTTGATAAGTCTTGATGTAAAACAAGAAAGGGTTTGAGATGATTTAATGATCTCTGGAAGATTGTTACACAGTTTAGGCGCATTCACTGAGCACGATCCGTATGCAAATGATATTAATTTTCACCTTGAGCAACAAAACTGATGAATGTGTGTTCGGCCGGAGGTTACTCGAGGGAACTTGTATGTGCATAAAGTTAGATAAGTATATTTGAGCTAAGCCATTCACACACTGATACGTCAAAGACAGACTTTTGAAGATGATTGGCAGCCAATAGATTGATTTCAGAGCGTGTTTTGATGATCTGGTAAGAATTTGAGGTGCGGTATTTTGAACAAGTTGATTTTTTTTAATATTGGCACTAGATGTTTCTACTAACAAGCTGTTACAGTAGTCAATCCTTGGGAATACCAAAGAATATATAAGTGGAGCAACTGCTTCTTGGCTAATAAAGTGTTTATATGGCCAATGTTCCTGGACCAAAGATAACAGTTTCGACAAATTTCACTAATGTGACTGCCCATGCTCAAATTGGACCCCAAGAGGACACCTAACTTCTTCAGTGTCTCATGGTACAAATATTGCATCTCGTACAACCACATCATTTGAACTTGTCTTTTTCAGATGTGTATTTTGACCACATAAAATACATTCTGATTAACTTAATTCAATTAAATTTAATTTCATCATATTTCTTGTCATCCTATCATGTGTACACAATTTGATGTCAGATATAATTAGGGAATGAAACAGTTTTTGAAAGGGAATAACTTGCGATCAGCTGTGTATCATTTGCATAAGAATGTAATCCTAGAAACCATGATTATCGATTAGTTGTCCCAAATTCTTAGTATACATTACAGAAAGGACTGGTCCAAGGACTGATCCTTGTGGAACTCCCGAATCATCTGTACCGGCCCTACACAGTATTGCTGGAAGGTAGTTGCATGGGGCATTATCAGGCCTAATAATCCATTCAATGAATGATTTTATTGTAAAAATGATGTAAAAAATGAAGTCATTTTCTTCAAGTTCGACCATCAAATTTAATATGAAAGAAATCCGTGCCAGTCATTTTGTCAAAACCAAATATTAGTATTAGTAGTCCTCAACTTCCATTATTAATAGAATTGTCCTCAGCCCCGCAGTGGGTGAGATATAGCATCATGAAATTTATATGTTTTAGATAGCAAAAACTACGTCTCAAAATAAATTCCTCATAGCTTCAAATGGTTTCGGAAAAATTTAATAGTCATATATATTGAAGTAGTAGATATGATCATTCGTAAAAAATAATTTATAAACAAGAAAAAAAAGACAATTTATGGGAAATATTTGAATTTAGGGATTTTTTTTTTAAAAAAAAAATGACGTTTTTTTTAAACTCTAAAATGGCCATAGCTGGTTCCCCGTAACTACAAGGTTGGTGATCCTAATATTTAATGTGGGGTATACGGGGTACCCAATGACCAAATCTGCAAAGTTTGGTCAAAATCGCCTGACACAGCTTGTGCCGTTTTTTTTTTTTAAAACTTTACATGATTCTCTCGCGAACTCATTCTTAATTGGTCTGGTTAAACAAATTTACATGTTGAATTTTCAGGAAAAATGTGTTTACCCATTTGCTGTAGATTTCCACCCACTCTGTCCACCAGATAAATTTCTTTTGATTGCTGTTTTTTTCCAAGTTTCTTTTATCACTTTACAGTCGATTCTGCATGACGGCTCGAAAACAAAATATGTAGCACTAATGCAGTGCGATGAGTCCCTGGCTAGATGTGGAAAGGCACTCTATTAAAACTCCTCACATACTCTCTTCTCTGCTACATATTTTCACCAAAAGGAGATGTATATGACACTATCCTGTGTCACGGTACCAAAAAGAGATGTATATGACACTATGGGGACAGATGTGACTTTAATCAGAAACTTCCAGAAAACGGCATGTGACACTAAGGGTAACTTTGACTTCGCGTTGTGCATATGATCAATTAACTCTGGAACACTTTGTTGGTTATAACTAGGTTTATACATCGAATACAACATCCATAATACAAAGGTTATATACAGGAAAGTACACACACAGCTATGACATTAAATACCGGTATAAGCTAAATATAAGTTTTCTATCCCCTAACTTGTGTTTTGAGGTGGTGGGATCATCCTTCTGAGAATACGAGATGATGTCATCACCCTAGCCTCTAAGCTGAGGAGGCTATGGGAACGTCCTTCTGAGATTACGAGATGATATCCTCACCCTAGGCTCTTAACCGAGGAGGCTGAAAATATGATGTTCCACTGGGAGCACCGAATGATGTCTAAAAGAAACTTAAACCCTGCACGTTCTTTATAAAGAGGTTACGTGCATGAGTCATGTATTGAACCCCGAGAAAGTGGACCAGGTTCTCCTTTATCTGATTGGTCAGCTACAGAAGCTACCCTGAATTTCAACACAGTGTACTTTTATGGGCACCCAGGAGGGCAGCTATCCACGTTTCTAATGCATGGGGTTGCCATATTTGGATTATCAGACTGCGATGTTGTTGCCCGATTTTTATCTACCAGACATTAGCTTAGTTCTCGTTGTCACTGGTACTAGCTAAAAACTTCAATACATTAACCTGAGCATCTTTTATAGAGAATTTAAATAACCTCATAGTATATAGGCCCTATAGTATTACACATCAACAAAAACTGGCACCTGATCGTATCCTCTCAGTTGCTGCCAGTTGCCGGCAACTACTTGTCTCCAATTGTTTCCAGTCGCAAGGGCCGATGGACATTACAATTGAATATATTTCAGATTAAAAAGAAGCAGTTCACAGGATTTTGATGGGGATAAAAATCGTCAAGATGAATTTAAACGTGGTGGTGTTAGGGCAACTGCTACAGCTAGACTTGGTGGATGGTCTCAACAACTTAAAACTAACATCAAGTATGATTTTCTGTTTCTTTATATACAAACATTCTCAAATTTCTGAAGTAGTGGTTATGAGCATTATGTGTTCATTAACCATTGCTGTATTTGATCTATTAAGTTTAAAATAAACCTTATATCGATTAAAGCCATTATAAGGTGGAAACTGCATGCTTTCTGTTAACATTGGATTATTTGAGGTGGCAGGTAATTTATGATTATCAGAGGGTAATTCTCGATCAGTTTTAAAAGGGACTACATGCTATTTTACCAGAATATGATTGTTAGTTGAAATTCATTTGAGATTTGTAAAGAAAATATATCCTTCGGTTGTGATTTACCAGTCCTGGGTGGGATGTATATAATGTGTTATTTATCAATATGGAAATCACTATTTTATGGATATTGTTAAGGTAAAGATAATAGTGTTTTTCCAGATTGCCTTCCATAGGGTATGGTTTGTATGTCACAGCGTACAATATAAATACATTTATATTTTCATAAAATTTCATCATTTCTCATAAAATTATCATAAAATGGAAAATATCATAAAAAAAATATAAAATTTTGCTACTTCTCATAAAATGAAGACGAAATTGAACATATTAACACAAGGTAAAATTTTTATGAATACACGTATTTTATGATAACGTATCGGCTACCAGATTGTTCTTTCCGGCAATATGACAATTTGTTTGTGGACACTCTACCGGTCACAATTTTTATCCGATTTTAACGAAACTTGAAATATAGGTCTATCTCCCAAAGATCTCAGTTCCTTTCGATATGGGCATGTATCGGACCATAACTTCATTGATTATGGCCCCTGATTGTATGAAAAATCATGTTTTTAGCTTCGGAACACTCTAGAGGTCACAATTTTGATCTGATTTTGGTAAAACTTGAAATGCATATTTATAACCCACAGATCTTGGTTCCTTTCGATATTCACGCATATCGAATCGTAACCTCCTGAATAATGGCCCCTGATTGTACGAAAAATCGTGTTTTCAGCTTTTGGTCCCTCTAGAGGTCACAATTTTTATCCGATTTTAAAAACCGTTTTAGTATATCACCATTACACCCTAATGATGGTTGAGTTTGTGAAAATCGGCTAAAGTTAATATCTGATTGACTTTAAATTTATACACAGTGTTTAGGGTCATGAGACGAAGAAGCCTATTGGCCCTTGATCACTTCAAAAAAATTTTGTGGACGTTCTAGAGGCTAAAGTAAATATCGAATTGACTTTAATTTTATACACAGTGTTTAAGGTCATGAGACGAAGAAATCTATTCATTTTCAGCAATTTTTGATAATTACTAAACAGCTAAATCCATGATATTAAACATTCCGTATACTAAACAGCTAAATCCATGATATTAAACATTTCATATACTAAACGTTAGCATGGTTCAGAACTTTATAAAAACAAACAAATTCTAATGATAATACTTAATGAGTTGTTACTCTTGATCAGATTTTAGTGTATTATAAAAGTTCCATTACTGATAAAAGTAAAAAAAAAATGCGACAACTCTTGTTGACTGCCCGGATGATTTAGCTGCTGTGGGCGTATGTTTCGTTGCCTGGCAACCTATCTTTCTATCATCTGAAACACACTGGAGAGTGTAGGCTCCACTCCAGTCTGTCGTCAATTCGTGATAACGTATCGGCTACCAGATTGTTCTTTCCGGCAATATGACGGGCAAAGAGGCAACAGTTCTTCATAATAGCCAACTCCCAAATTGCGGTCGCAATTGTATTCAAACTCTGGTAACGAGTGCCCATATGGTTTATGCACGCAAGAGTAGTAATGTTGTCTCTTCTGATCACTAAAGTTTTGTCCTTGATCTGGTTCTTGAAGCAAATGAGCGTCATATATACGGCCAACAGTTCTCGAAAAATTCGAACTTTGTCTTTTCACTTCGCTTTGGCCAGAAACCATGGATTACTTGATTGTTGTAGATCGCACGGTACCCGGTCTGAGACGCGTCGGTATTTCTCCATCTACTATCCGAGGAAGAATGGAAATACCGTCCCATAACTGAACACTTTCTAACCACCAATTTAGATCAGCAACGGCTTCCTGACTCCAATTTAAAACACTGTTCCAATCTGATCGAGTTGACAAAAAATTATAAACTCCCCGTAGTTTAAGTTTTCCTGGAAATACAACTCTGCTTAAGAAAACGCACTTGCCGGCAATACAGGCTATAGATCTAGCTGTTATACAGTCTTTATTCAGGGCTCTAGTTATGTCCCTTTGAAGGTCTCTAATACGTTTATGTGAAACTTTAAGCGAGGGGCAAGATTTTTCCTCGTTAATAGTAAAGTCCAGTCGTTTTAAGACACCAAGTAAAAGTGTAGCATCTTCCCTAATATTGTCCGAACATAACAAAAAATCGTCAACCCAAGTAGTTAGACGAAGACCTAGTGCACAAAGATAAGTAACCACAACTCGAATAATCTTATGGAATTAGTAAGGAAATATGCTACAACCAAAAAACAGAACATTAAACACGAAAAATTGTTTATGCCAAGAAAATCCAAAATATTTTCTAAACTCCGGCTTTACGGGCACATGGAAAAATACATCCTTCAAATCAACAGTTACAAAGTTATCAAGTTCAACAATCTGTTGTAATACTGAAATGTCTTCATACTTTACTTTCGGAACATAAATATATTTATTTAACTCATGGGCATTTAAAATAAGTCTAAATTTATTTTTACCTTTTTTCGGAACCACCAAAATTGGATTAACACATACAGGTTGAGAATCAGATTTAGAAATAAAACCACGTGATAAAAATGATTTAATTTCAGCATTCACAAAATCATGCTCAGACTTGTTTAATTTTTTATTTGGTAAACAAAATTTGTTTGGAGCAATATTGTCAACAAAAGGTATTAGTACTCCATTTGAAACCCAGTCTAAAATTAATGGCTGAAAGGTTATTTCTTCCCAATGTGCAACCGAAAACCCCCAGGCCATCAGTGCAAGTAAACTGTTCAATATAACATACATACATAAATACACCTAATACTATAAAATTTAACAATGTAATACAAATAATGCACAAAGTATACAAAGATAATACAAAATATACACTGCAGGCTAATCAGCCTCTCCACTGTTATTTGAATGGTTATTAATAAATCTAGGTGAATTATCAAATCGTCCTCTTCCAAAGGCTGGTGAATTTTGTCTATAATCTCTGACATTATTTCGTGATTGAAATCGATTTAAAGGTCTTCCACGAAATCCTGAATGTTGATATCTTTCATATCATGACGAATAAGAGCTTGATACGACTTGAAGATATGGTACACACTTTTGATAAAGTGTCAATGGCATCTTCTGATAGTGCACTAGTGTTTTTCTGCAAAGCCCGAATTAATTTCGAAGTTTCACCATCAAAGTGAGATTTAACAAATAAAGTTGAATATTCTTCTTGTAGATATGACAAACCAGCTTTCTGAATATCTAGCAAATCATGCAATACCGCATTGGTCACATTTTCCTGCTTATTTACAGCATACAACACTTTTACCGTTGTTTCAAGATATCCTACACACTTTTGAATAATATTTAATACAGGAAATTCAGCTCGCTTTATACCCATACGTTCTACATTAAATGTACCTTTTGGAATTTGCACATGTTGAACCGACTTTTTTATTTCCGCATAGGAAGACTGGAGATCGCTTGAATCTGCTGTTAAACCAGCCGAATTAGAGTCAATTTCTGATTCGAGGGGTTTGACTGTATTGTTTACAACTTGGCTGCTCTCGGCATGCGCACTGTGACTATCAATCAAAGTTTCCCAGTTTAAAAAATGCCTTAGTGACAAAAGTAGATTAAAAGTTTTGCCTTAGTGTACATAAAAACTGCCATAGTGAAGAAGGAATTATTGTGGCATTCGTTCCAATTTCACGAATTTTGACCCCTGATAGTTCTCCCATTTTAAAAATGAACTAAAAATGACATATTTTGGTGTTACCCCAGATGTTATCTTTCATTTTCAGAGACCTTGTTCCATAATATTTTCAAATGTTTGGCCGCCATATTGGATTTTATAAAAAAAAAACTTCAATTTGATATTAAGCCACGATTTTGATGCCGATTTTCGAAAACTTTTTTTGTTTTTAACTTACTCCAAATGGCAACAATTCTTAGGGAGCTGATTTTTTAATTTTGATTTCATTTACTTCCGGTTTCACTTTTCGACTATTGACCTATTATCTTTTGATCTAGCTGTTCATTTACCCTTGACCTTTGCATATATGATGACCCTGACCTCTACTAACAACTAATATCAAAAAGTTTAGTCTTGGATTATAACTTCCGGTTTTATTAAGAGTTCAAAATGACAGCTTTTTCCACTTTAATAGGTATTGGATGTTACTATATACTCATTAGTTCAAGGTGTAACTTTATTGTTGACGTGACCTGACATGACCTGACATCAGACCCGACAACCCCTCAGAGCTGAAATGCAGTAGGGTAGTGTAAAAAATGCAGTAGAAACCATGATTTGGCAGTAGATTTCCAAAAACGCGTAAATTCGCACTTACAAGGGTAATTAATTTAGAAATGATACACTGAACTGCAGGCCCAACAATACAAAAATTGCATTAAATGGGTAATAGATAAAATATACACAAGCAATGGTAACCATATCTAAAATTATTTATGTAATTAAACCAAAATTGAATATGTAGCCTACAAAAAGAAATAATTAGTAACGTAAAAAAAAAATAATTAAAATTACCAGTCCAGTGTACTGGCAGCCAGTAGGCCTACCACTTACACTTTTCTTTTGTTTTAACTTAGCATGATTTTAAAATATATTTGTGACGTGTGTTTCCCATTCCGAGAGTTTTTGTCAATATGTTTCATGTAAGATTATACATATGGTATTTCTACATTAGGAATAGAGGGGGGGGGCGTAAAAAATGAGTTTTGTAAACGGGTAAATATTGGTATCGATTTTATCATGCCCTCCATGGTG